GCGGCAGAAGTAGGAGATAAGAGAAAGGCGATAGGACTCGTTAGGAAAAACTTATTAAGATAACTACCAGGGGTTAATAGTGTAAACAAAATAGCCTTATCTAAAAATAGTAGGTACAAATTTTATTGACCAATCTTTAACCCTTTAAGGGATAAGCCTTAAAAGCGAACTACCTACTCAAATGAAGCGGCGCGCGTAGTTCAAAAATTGTGTCGCGACGCGCATACGAAACCTATTCTTAGCCTAAATGAATAAGTGTCCTCAGTAGGTTATATATGACACCTAACTTAGCCCATTTAATTAGATAATAGTACTACTCACCTCACTTAGCCTGCGCTCTTTCCTAAGCTAATAGACCGGAAGGCTTTAACTCTTTAAGAGACTGAGATAATACTGTGCTAATTAATGCGAGAGCGCTTACTCTTCTCTATAACACATATAGGATTGACTAATAAGGAGGTCACGAACGTGTAGAGTTATAAATAGGCCCATTTACATAGTAAGAGCCTTAAATAACGGGAACGCAGATTTATTAACATTTTCTAAATAAATAACACACTGTGTAGAGTAAAGACAGTAAACGTCCTCACAAGATTCACCACCTATTAAACCTTTAATAAGTCTCTCCGAATTCCTTAGTAAAAGACCTTACTCCTAAAAGCCCTCCTAAGATCCCCCCCTCAAAGCTATATAGTTAGCTTCTATCTCTATCTATCATAAAAACCGATAAGGTAAGTAGATATAATAAATGTCTCTATAGAAGTAAAAATACTAATAAGGTATAATAGATACGTCACGAATTATCTCCTACTAACTCTCCCATACTAGAACGAAAGATAAGGTTACCGAATAAACACACTAAGCGCGTATCCGCGAAGAGAGCTCACTTATCTCTAGAACCATTAAATAGCGGTGTATTTATCGAGAAGTGACTATTAAGCGTTCTACCTAGCGAAGAATACGATATCTAAGATAACATAAGTCTACCACCCTCAAAATAATCTTAGTCCTTAGATTTATTAAGTTATTAACTATTATAATCTGGTGATAGCACGGAATCCATAGTTTTAGTAAATAAGAAATACTTAGCCTATAAAGATATAAACTACCTAGTGATCTTAGAGATAAAAGACAGTTTTATGCAGTTATTTAATGCTAGTCTCATGAAGGAAGATAAGATACTATATAAGAAACTTCTCTATACACACTAATTACGTCCTAATTATTCATTATTTAATGACTAATTTAACAAATTCTAGACTCTGATTTGAGGCCAATCTAAAGCTTAAGTCTATTTTAATTTATATCCCCTCCTTATCCTATTAGTTAAAAACCTATTCATTAGTGGTTAAGAAGAATTTCACGGTCTAATCGAAGGTTATAATGACCCCTAGGTTAAAGGGATCTTATTCTATAGACCCTAATTGTAGCTAAATTATATATATAGATTTAAATGGTCTAACTTTACTAAAATCTAGCGCTGAAAGCTCCGCATTAAACCTTTAAAGAAGTTATACTATACTGTGTGTGAGGATATCTATTTTCCTTTTATGACTAGTGAGATAAAGTGTGAGAAGTAGGGACTTAACTTAGTAGATTAACCGAATACTCATAGTATAACCGTTACTCTCCGGGGAATTATGGACGTCTTTCGCAAAGCTAATCATGCCTTAGAGGTGCATAGAAGGGCATTAGGATATTCCATTTCACATGATAACTAAAGCGTGTGTATTTATGCTCATTATCCTAAGCTATAGGGTGAGAACACGTTATACTATCGTGAGACTATTAAAGAACTTAACGTTAAGGATAAATTGGGCGAATATAGATAGATTAGTTACTAGTTTACTCTTAACATTTACTAACTCTTTACTTTAGCTCTACTTAAGTGACTCATTACCATAATTAATAAGCTACCTAATCCGCTTATAAGGATACTTAAACTAGCTAACATTAATAACCTTAACGTATAAAGCTTATAGGATAATAGTAGTGCGCCCGAATCTTAGGATAAGGGGTTTCGCAAACTATAGTGAGGGAGGGGCTTAAATGCCGAGTTTTAAATTATGATTTAGAACCTATAATGGCAGCTTAAATAGTAACGAAATGACTCTAAGTAATAACGAAAAGAATCCAAGTAATAACGAAAGGATGCGAAGAATCAAGAGACTATATTAGTGACTTAGCTAGAATAGTAACGAAAAAACTCTAAGTAATAACTAAAAGAGCTTATGCAATTACTTAAACAGTAGAGTGACTAGCTTAAACACTAGAGTAAACAGATTATAGAGCTTCTGCATAAGTAGTGATGCATCTCAAGTCTTTCTAGTTATTATGGCCTTCACTACTTAATATATAACCTAAGGGTTCCCGTAAACTATAAGGGTTAAATTTTTATCACTATAGCCTACTTCTAATCTAGTCAAAATGAAAAGTGTTAACTAGGAGTTAATTCTAAGATCACCTTAATTGAGCCTAGAATTTCACTTAATTAACGGAAGGATAACGAGGGTTTAAGAAGTAAGACAAATTACACTACGCATTCGCTCTCTAGCGCGTAGATATATCTATTGCTCGCAGCCTGACTAACTATCGCGTTTACCCTGGCCACCTAAAGTTAGTATTCTCAGTTAGCTGTAAGGGCGTAATTAGGCAACCTTGCACTGTCTCTTCTGATATCTCAAAGTCACCCCTATTCTTCGCACTACGGATCAAAGGCGCACATTAATTAAATACAATAGACTCTAGATACTAATAGGCACATAGCCTCTTAGTCAAAACTACGCCGATACGTGATGACATCCTCCGTGCAGCACTAGCATCATACGTTATTATGGCTGCTGGTCCGCTGATTCGCTAGGCATAACACTCTCAGGGGTTAACAATCCTGGGAAGTAAATCGTAAAGGCGCCTGACCAAGCTTATAAAGTAGCTATAAAACTACTAAACTATTAAGGTATAAGAAGGCGCTCTACCCCTACTCTTACCTTTATCCCTCTTAATGTGTCTAACTCCCTAATCGTACCGCCATTCTCTAATAAGCACAAAATGTAGCCTATTCCTAACGTGAATTATTTTCTTAACGACACTGATCGCGAAATTCAGGCCCAACATAATTCAGTAATAAATAGTGCTTTTAACATGAAAAGAAAGTCCTCCTCACTGTTAACGCAGGCGCAACAATTAAAGACAATATTGCTGGCCAAACAAGCTGAACTAGATCGCCATATCACTCAGGATAGACGCCATTAGTCAGACCCTTAAAGTATCGCCAAAGGTATTCGGCAAAAGCTCTGACTATAAACTCATAAATTACGACAGTGTAGGAACGAGAACAGGCTACTACGCATCCGGAATCAAGAAGTGAGCAATGATTTAAAAGCTACGCATAAGGAATTAAAAAAGGTTAATCACTTACGATGTAATATCTATATGGTGGCGTTCAAAAATGCCGTGGTTCTATGCTATCACAGTGCCTACAGAGAATGTTTGGAATTATGGCTTGGACAAGGCAAAGATTGCCCTTAGTACAAACGAAGATTCTAAGAAGGCGATATTTAGGATATTTATCTTAGATCTAGCAATAAGATCTAGAACACTCGAGAGAATGATAATAATGAGATAAATACTATCTCGCTAAGTAGCGACAGTGAGTAGAATATTAGGTGCACACGGCCGCTAAGAAGAGAGAACAAGCCGACGTAACGCTATATATGAGCGAATGGAAGACCTATTAAATTCAATCTATATTCTCAACCGTAACACCTTCTCGCGACACCTTTTCTGTTTCAAGCCGTCCTTCCATTGCTGGTTTCAGTTCGCATTTAGAGATAACGAAGCTTGTCCTTCCCGTCAATACCGCTTTTAGGAGTCTACCGAGAAACAAAATGAGAGCATATGACGCATAGAGGACGATGATAACAGGACAAGCTTTTTCATAACACTTTGGTGTTACTTGCAATGGGGTTGCCAGATTCCAAAGCGAAGCAAGTCTTTAGTGACATAAATCTAGCAGTGTCAACTAGTTGCCGCTAGGACTTTCTCTAGTATATAGAATCCGAGACCTTCTGTAATTCGCAATGCGCAGACAACATCTGTGGCCGTGTTATCGAAGGTGTCGTACCCACGAAAATGCTCGTTAGGGCCTAAATAAAGAGGTTACTATAAAAGACGAGATCACCAAGAACTAGGAGATGTTGAATCCCACCTGTTGCTGGTGTACCGAGTTGACACGGACTTGACACGAGTGGACGCGAGGATGTGTAAGCATGATCTTAGCTTATCAGTACGGAGTGCAACCGTTTATGACGCGATAGCATACTAAACTGTCACGTGCCGTCTAAGTGCTCCTTCCATCACTGACCAGTTGCACAACCTAAACTCGCTTGTCGACAGGACTGATTGGCTAGTAATGATATAGGTGGTGTTGTCCGCCGCACAATTGTGCAAGGCTAAAGGCACACTAAGAGAACCGCATGCAAGAGCATCCATCCAAAGTACGCTTTTAAGCTGCAAGTAGTTTGTTGTGTATTTTTGGGCGATACCAAAAAAATACCACGTCTCTTGAGTCCGCGTCAGATCTTTTATGCAAGTCATTCTATTAGACTCAATTCTATTAAGGTCAGTAGTTTCTATACAAAAGAACAAAAAGTAATGGAGTCAGTTTTGTCTCTCCTAGAAAGATGAATAAACTCATGTTTGCTAATCGATGACAGCGAAAGCATCATTTATTACATTCATCAATGATGTTAGGCAGCCTTTCATGTTCCTATACTCTAGCTGTTAGACATAGCTAGTGCGCTCTAATGTGTGGAGTTTTATTAGAAACTAATAAGAATTCGTCTAGAGCATGGAAACCCTTGTAGCTGATGCTTGTCGACAATCGATAGTTAGACGAAAGCCACCAGCCAGGGTCATCGAACAGAAAACGACTTGAATCCCAAAGTCGACCTTGGCTTGGACATATTTCATGGTAACGCACTCAACGATAACTCTGTCAACACCAACTTTCAAGGTTATTCTCCTTCTAGGAGTTACTCTTCCTTTGTTTATGCTCTTCATGTGCATTGCATGAAAGCTAAGAAGCGAGGCATCATCCCAAGCCAGAATCAGAGTGGACCTACACTATGGCGATCTGCAGTTTATTACATCCACGAGTTTGATGTCCTCGGTCTGTCGTGTATATCCGCTGGTTTTGCTTTCTTCCTTCTCCCATTCAATCTTTACACTTAGCAAGCCAAAGGTTGGGGATCTGCTCTCATCATCTGCTTTCTCGTCATCGGAATCATATTGATTGCGGCTTTCGTAATATGGGAGAGATTGTTTGCCTGCGTCCGCCTTATTCCGTGGGCAATACTTCGAGATCGAACAGTCCTCGGTCCTTGTATCACTGGATTTGCGCTATTCATGGGCACTACTTGTTAGAATGGTTATTTTAGCTCCTTTCTTCAAATGGTCAATGGCCTTACCATAACCCAAGCAAGTTACCTTGTCCAAGGAGGCATTGTAGCACAAATTGTCATGAATCTCGTCGCTACGTCAATCATCTTATCCACGGACGTTATAAACTTGTCAGTCTCACTTCGGTTTCCCTTTGATTGTCCTTGGTACAGGTCTGATGATACATTTCCGTCAGCCTAATCAATATGTGGATTATGTGGCCATGAGTAACCATTTTGTCAATTTTGGATTCGGCATCTTGAAGCTCACGGTCGAGATTGGCATTCTGGCTGCTGCCTCTGTACAACAATACTTTGCCATTCGTATTGCTTTGCTGAATTTGTGTTGTGACATTGGCACTTCCGTTGGTTATAAGATCTCTTCTGCCATCTGGCAAGGCACAATGCCCGAGAAACTCGCGCTGGATCTCCCTTCTGAGAGCTAAGGAAATCTTACCATGATATACAGCGATATTACACAACAGCTATCTTATGAGTGGGGCTCACCTACCCGTTTGGAAGTCCAGAGATCCTACGGAGACACATGGCGATACTTCTTAATCGCTGGTGTCTCAACCTGGGTGCTGGGGTTGGTGGCGATTCTCGTGTGGAAAGACATGGATGTGAAGGGCATCAAACAGAACAAGGGTCATGTTGTATGAGTTTGGTTGACAGAACTCTGGCTCTTGGTCAAATCAGTGAATGAAAGCGAATGAGGGAGGATCGTGTTGATATCAAATGGGGGCGATGAGTGCCTTACCAGCGATAGGGTGTTCAACATACGATGCTCCTGATCAGCAATATACATTAACAACTACTCTTTGAGACGTAGGAGTTCAGTTTGAGTACAAAGAAAAGCAGGTCAACTACGAATGTCATTCATGATCGCTGTGTGGCGTCAGCCATGCTTGTACCAGGAAATTCGCCCACATTCACTGCCCCTGTGAGGACTATTGTCGATGTGGATCACTTACCCGGATGGCTTGAACCTCCGTTCTTCATGTACTTCCCAGGCTTCATGTCGAGGCGGAGGCCCGTTTTGGGGGCTTCAGGACAACGAACACGATCAGTGCCACCCCAAGCATGACGGCCGACCCGGTGACGTAGGCACTCTCGCGGCCGGCCCCCCAAAATAGCGTGCAGAAGAGTAGGGGCCCTAGTGCTCTGCCCAATTGGCCCCAGCTTCTCAAAGCTCCTAGGATCTCCCCTCGGTTGTCCTTTCCAGATTCAAAGCTTGCAAGACTGTTAAGACCGGTCACCACGGTAGAAGAGGTGATGGCGAGTAGTGCAGCGGCACAATACAATCCGACGGTGCTTTGGACCTGGGCTAGTAAAACAAAAGCCAGAGTGGCAGACACGACGCCAGACCGGACAACCACGAGCGGCGTCAGGCGCCGCACGACCGAGCCTTGGAGAACCGCGGCGATCAGACCGATAAAACCGAGGAGGCGTCCGTTAATCTTGGCTGGTGCTGGGTGTGTTGGGTACAGAATTGATGTGATCAAGAACGGGAGAGAGAACTCCATACCCGAAAATGCGAGAAGGAAGACAAGATGGATTAGGTTCAAGACATACGGGGGATTTGTATGGTTTTTCTTGGAGCCTTGCATCAAGTGGACCTGGACCTCGTCGGCCTGACGGTCTAAGACGGAGGATTTAATGGGTGCTGTCTCTGGGAGACAGAGGTAGAGATACAGTGTTTCTGCCACAATCAGGGCCAGCGAGCCTCCCGCCGCCGTCGCAAATGGATTGGCACTGAATGTGCTCACGCTCGCCAGCGTGGCCCCTAGGGCTGGTCCTAGGATGAAGGCCACACTGAAACAGACTCCCACAAGAGCCATGGTGGACGCTCGTTCCTCATGTGTGCTGATATCAGTGGCAATAGCCGTGGCCAGTTGGACGTTGCCCTCACTCAATCCACCCACGATTCGGCTAAGCAAAAATATCCGGAACTCGACAGCAAAGCACCATAGGGTGACGCTCACAACGTTGCCGCACATACACCAGAGCAGAACCCGCCTCCTACCGAACATGTCCGACGCGCGACCGATAATAGGGCTTGCAATTGCTTGAAGGAACGAGAAGAGCGACCCCAGCATTCCTCCGAGGAGAATTATGTCGTACTTCTCACTGATGGGCGCGGCGAAGGACTTCTTGTACTGGTTGAGGTAAGACAGGATGTGGCTAAGACCGGCCGATGGCGGTGCCGTCGACCCCTGGTAGAACTCCAGTAGCGAAGGAAAAAGAGGGAGGATGAACGTGAACGAGACCTGCTTCGCATAAATCACACCTCGTCCTTATTCTGTGACAGGTGACAAACCAAGTCCAGGAGCAAAGACATACAGAGCACACGGAGGATCCTCCGGCGGTGCTGTGCGGAAAGAGAAACAGTCATTTGAGCGCAGGCACACTTTTTCGTCCAGAAATTTGCAGAGTGTGGTAAAAGTTGGTTGCTGTTCTTTACGGCGGAGCAAGCGCTACCTGGGGACCACTGACCTCACAGCTTTTGTACAAGGTGAAGATTTGATTGCAAATCTGTTGGCGCCTCTGCTTCTTATCCTTTAGATCTGCCAATGAAGGTTTGATAAGGAAGCCTGCGGATTATTGATTTGACTCGCTGTGCGAAATACTTGGCACACCTTCGAGAAGGGTGAGCACATTTACAACGGAGTCGAGCAGATTTGCCAGGGACAACCAAGGCCCCACCATTTAGAGTTTATAGAATGTTGTACCGGTACGGACCTTGTGGATACCTACATAAGTATCTTTGTTTGTATGGAGTGGTGAGTGGCTCTAGAAGGGTTGTAAATGTGGTTAGGATCCTCGAGAACAATAGATCGTCCAAGCTGATCGGGTATTGACCTTCATGCCAAACAGAAGATCTGATTAAGCTCTACCACAAGAATGATGAGAAGATATACACGTATCTATATCGATGCCGTCCAAACAGCTCCCTCCGCACCGCTTCACTTGGCTGTGTGTATATATGTCACTTCATTAAACTGTATCTAGCTGCCGAAGCAGGCAAGAGGGGCAATTTTCCTGCAAATGGTTCAGTCACGTTCAATCTACTATCGAAGTTCAGGCTTGTACGATACCTGGAATTCATGCCCAACATGAGTTGGCGGCAATGCGGACAAGAAACGTAGAGAAAGATAGTCAATCTTTTGTCCTGGTGATGACGACGTGCAGAATGTGTGCACAGACTTGTTAGACTCTGCATGCTGGTATAGGCAAGAGAGACTTGTGAGCAAGTTTTCAGCTCCACCAGAAAGTCTCCTTGGTGTCGTGGATACACCTCTACCTCCCGAGATTCGGTACTGTGAGCAAGCTCCTATTACCATAGCCCTTTAGTATCTACCGAGCTCATGGCGACACGTTCTCAACTTGTTTACCTTTGTATAGATGAGTAACGGTACATGTATCTGGGGCGCTCGGCTCGAATGACGCCGCTCTGTTCGTGTACTCACTCCTCTCCAGAGGCGCTGAGTTCGATGTGCTCAGGAGGCCAACTTCTTCCGATTTCATCGAAACAATTCCTTGACCACTGACTATCGGTGATGGGGCATTTGATTTCATAAGGCACACGAGCAAAAATGAATCTGAGAAATCGAAAAGTTTATCTGGATGGCCAGCAATCGTTCCAAATAGTGTGATTATGCTCCCAAACGACAGGAAGTCTTCACGTAGTGGAAATTGATACAAAACATCTGTTCCGTCTCTGAATGACAGGCCAACCTCCGTCTCTTCACAAGGATCCGACCATCAAGAGATCTCTTTTCGATATCAGTGTGCTGGAATGAAACAAAACTGTCATTGTGCGAGCAAATGCCCAAGCCGCAAACGTTCAAGACGTATCTGGGATCTCATCGAACGACTAGATGACTTCGTCACCGAACGTTGCCGGAATTGCTTGCTGAGGACCCCGACAATCCTGAAAACAGGCGGCGCGGAAAGCCTACGAAAGCTTGCTGGACTTTGTGAAACTCCTCCCAGGCATGCAGAATGACGCAAGGTGGTTTAGTCGTTTGTTCCCAGCCCGACTCGTTACCAGGAAAATGCATCTATTTCAAGCTCGAACGAACAATCCCCTGCCATCTGCCTTCCGAGCCGGCCCACGACTGCTCGAACATGGTCACACATCTCCCCTGGCCCACAGCCCACCACGGCGACCTTGGACCATCCGAGGCTTGCCTCTACCTCGAGCAACCTGGCGATATCGAGTCTCTGCCCGATGCGGATTTCCTTCTCTCGGACTCGGTCTAGCGCAGTGCTCAGTGAGTCGACCATGCATTTGTCGCCTTCCTTGACACTGTAAAACAACTTGACATTTGGATGACACGAGAAGAATGGTAAAAGACCTGTGATACCCATGCCACCCCCAATGAGGAGAAGCCGGTCGCTTTGGAGGATTTTCTTGGTGGGAATAGTAGGATATGGCCCTTCGACGAAGGCTAGGAGATTTTTCTGTGCTCTCAGGGACCTGGTCATCCCGATCTTCTTTCTGACAAACAAGGTCAGACCCGAGTTTGTATAAAGTCCGCCGTTGTGGACTACTTTGTGGCCTACATTTGTTGCTGTCTTGTTCTCCAAATCTTCTTCGGCTTGCTCTGTCGTCTGGCTGCTGTGTGCACTGTTGCTGAGCACTGGAGTTGGGATTAAAGAAAATGGATGGTTCTCCCAAGGGCGTAGGGGGCTGAGGGTGGGAAAATAAATATATACGCAGTGTCCTGGTCCAGCCCAGCGGACTCCTGGGATATCAACGCGGGCAATAGTCGCGTTGATATCGGTCACTTGGGCACGCTGGATGCCAGCCTTCAACACGCGGGCCACACGAACCATCCGATCAAAGAACCAAACGGCAAACGTGGCATACAGCCACGTCGCATAGCCAAAGCATCCTTCATCATCGTACCAGACATGGTACCAGCAGGCGACCACGCAAATCACGGCCATGACAACATGAGTGATGAGGAACAGCTCATAGGCTCGTTGACGCAGAATGAGCACACTTGTGAGCACGATGATGACCGCAGCAACTGACCCAACACAGCCCCAGATCCACAATGGCGTTCCCACCGTCGATACATAATATCCGTCATTCTGATACAAGACCAACGAAATGATTGAGTGCAAAAGAGTTTGCAGGAGGAAAAGTCGGGCCAGCCAACGATGTAGAAGCATGTAGGTTTCGTGAGACCAGTTAGTCAGCCACAGCAGAATGTTGTTCCGACTCGAGAAGAGGAACAACACGGGCATTTGACAGAAGGCTAGAGCACCAGTGCGCCACATTAGGTAAGCCATGAGCTCTTGGTAATGATTTTTGTACCATTGAAATTCTTCGTGGGGCCAGAGTGTCTTGTAGCCGACCGCAAGGAATATAATATTCAGAAGGAACAGCACCGCAATATAAAGACTTTGGCCCACAGTAGGCGCATTACCGAGTAAAAACGGGAGGGGTCGATTGTGGTAGGTCCCCACTATGCTTGGATAGATCCAGGGCTTCAGTCGTTCAAGTGCGCCAGTCATGAAAGGAAGGTAGTCTAGCCATGTCAGGACCAGAGGCAACGCGAACGCTGCTAGCAAGAGGCTCAGGCTATGGTTCTCAGAGGTCAGCATGCGCAAAGATCGGTCGGGGAAGTTGGGAGTGGTGGGAACATGGAAAGCAATATGGAATTAAATGACCTACCCAAAATATGATTCCAGAGCCGTTTCGCGAAAGAAGTATATGAGGGTATCTTGAGTGATGCGCCAGGTGTGATAGGATGTGAGCATTGTCATATTCAACACCATGTCCATGTCCATTGTCATCATGGTCGGTGGCTCCGTGATATTGGCCAAAACTTCGCCATAACTCCATTTTGGAACAACACTGCTATCTCCCGTGAGAGCTGTCTCCCAGAACTTCTCGATCCTTGAAGCCCGAACGTTGTCAGGACAGTATAGATGTATACACCATGCTACGGAGCTCAAGAACGGAAAGTCAGAGGATCGACACACAGCGAGGTTGTGCGCAGCATCGCCGGCGGTCGTGTGGCCTCCTGGACTTATAGTTGCGGAGCATTGTAGCTTGAAGGGGGAGAAGGACCGGAAGCAGCCATGAGCACAGTAGGGATCGTAAAACGTAAATCCGTCAAGGCCGGCAAGACCAGTACGAGTGATAGGGATTGGACCGATTGCAATCGCGGAGGACAAGATCCCCAAGAGGCATAACAATGAGAACTTCATAATTATGACCCTAGTCTTGGATGGTCGGACAGAAAACGATTTGCGATGGAAACGTAGGTTTGAAGGCAATAGGCCACTTTATACTGAGGGCATGAATATCGTTTGAATACACTTGAGATTCTGGCTCTTCCGGGCTGACTGTAACGAATTTAAGCATTGGAAAACATTGGCGGGCAAGCAGAAGGCTAGCTAACCGTGCATACCTCCCCTCTCGCACGGAAAATTGCTCAACTTTCTAAGCGAGACGAAAAACAAACACTGCACGATTCAGAATGGCCTAGGCATGAGAGCCTGGAATCACTGGAGGAGACAAACGGAAAAGACCATTGGCGAGACTTCAAAAGCAAAACGAACGGGTGTGATAAGCTACCTGACTGCATGACCCTGCTCCATGCCCAGATCCAGACGCCTGGATTGTCTGTCAAACCTGGGACGGATCTTCGCAACTCCACTAAGACGCTCCAGCAAACACAGTGTTATTCTTTTATAAGCCGGTAGAGACAAGGATACGAGTACTCTCCTTCCAAATGAGAGCAGTCATGCATGCGGCCTCCGCACAGGAAGTGGATAAGCCGAAGATGAGCAAGTTTTGTGAGCAAGTTTTGCAGCCACATCACAGTAGAATACCACTGTGTCGGACCCTTGCTTTGGGACGAATCAGTCTAGACGAAGACTGCTTAATGGAACTCATGTGGTTTATGCTGCGTATTGTAAGTCTCGAATCACCGTACGGTACTAGTAAAGCCATTTGCGGTATTTCAGAAAGAAGTTATGGCATACGAGAACTTATCGTGGTTGAACGTAGTTTGAGTGGGCCATGTTGGCAACGTAGTTACACTCTCCTTAGCTAAAAGACAAATCGAAACGTCTCCTGGTTGGACTTCGTTTTGCTGAAAGTAGCTGGCCAGCAGCGACTTTCAGGATTGTTCAAATTGAGATTGTACATTGACTCTGATCCGCATGAACACCCCAGCTTGGTAGAATTGAGTTGATCTCTCCGCCGCGCCTGCAGCTCAATTCCCAGGACAGCATCATCGTATTCGAACACAATCAAGCCTTTCAATTCATGGATGCAATGCAACAGGCTCGCATTAGATATCAGCAACATCAATGAGCAGCTGAGTTCGCTATAAAATGTCCAAATACTACGCTGCCTAAAAATACCCCGGCAAGGACCGACAGAAAATATCCCACGTTCATAGTCATCACGGCAATCATCCTGTAGCAATATTAGTACATATGATTTACCCTTAGCGTGGGATTCGCTCACAGCAAGTAGCTCAATCCGGCAAGTATAACATCAACCATAGCTATCATCACGGCCTCGTTGGCTCTCCATGGTCTCGAGATGGGCTTTGCATCGGTGAGGGGTTGGCTGCTCACTCCACCATATTGTCGGTGTTTTGCCAAGGCAAGGAAGTCATAGAACCGTACTCGGACTGCTAGTAAGGCTCGGAAGATAGCTGCGAAAGCGATCAGGAAGATGCAGGTTCCTGCGTACTGGCCAGTGGTGTCTGGTGTCCAAGCCCATGAATAGAGAGGCGTGCTTGAAGAGGTAAAGAACACCATGGCCATTGAATCCATACCCATCATGGAAGACGACGACATGGGCATCGAGCTACCCGTTGAGCTTGCCATCGACATTCCACTCATGGTAGAAGTTGGAGATCCAGTTGTGGACATGGTAATGGACATGGTCGTACTCATATCCATGTTGCTCATCGACATTGAACCGCTATCCATGGGGCGGGCACACAGCTAGTCCTGTACACGATAATAAAAAGTCGACTGCGCAAAACAGCTTTGATTAGTAAAGACTGAAGAACAACGCTGGTACTTTTGAGATTTCGTGTATGTTTAGTGTAGATTAGAAGGTGGGCAGAGGGATCATGGATTTTGTGGCCTCGCAACGACATTTATGCAGTGCATCCAGTAAGCAGGCTTGCGGCTTGGTGACGGAGAATGTTGCGCCCCAACCGAGAGCAAATTTTCGCCAAACCTTAGTGTATTCTGGAATTCAGCACTATTGGCCGTCTCGCAATGTGAGCACATTTTCCTCACACGCCACTGAGGAAGAGTGGGTTACTCTGCGGACCCTGGTGCTTGTAGTATTCGGCTCTACATCCAACGTGGTTTCGGCGGTTCCACATTTTCCATGGGTGCAGGCGAGAACGATTGGGGCATTTTAAAGCCTCTCAAGCCAGGGCGTATCATGAGCTTCAGCCGCCCAAGTAAAGCTTGACTTTTTGTTCTTCTACTTCATGCTGAGTTCACTTTCTTACAGGGCTTGATATCGACATCAGTGCAACTTGAGCATCTCAGCGCAAATGGCAAGTTGGCTCTCACAACCCGTGGAGTTACATGGCAGTCGCGCATTCACATGCGACGGATTCACACCAGAGCAATGTGATTATTATAAAGAACGTTGGCATTTCTGGTAAGTTTAAGGAATGCATGACTTCTCTTTCGATAAGAGAGCTTGTGCGAGACGCTCACCAGCCTTCCCAATCTAGGTACATTGCCGACCATGTCTATGCTCTGCCAACAGTTGCATTTTTCATGTGCTCCATTGGAATCTTCATCATCGGCCATGTTCTGTCACGCGTCTTGGGAACCAATGTTGATCGAGGCCCGTCGTTGTTACGAAGAGCCACTGCTGTGATCCGATACCTCTCTTATCGCGGCTTCCACGTGGCATCGCTGCGATGGAATTCCGCCCCAATTGGACTTCTGCTGCTGGCTCTAGTTGGCGTCATCTTCTTCTTTTGTAAGCGGTCAATTGTTCTGCCTGTGGCAATCTGAACTTACTAACATCCTGTTGCAGGTATGGACCTTGCTCCCAGACCCTACTACTGGTCTAGCCTGGACTTTGGCGGTTCTCCACCGCTGGGTACTCGGTCTGGCTGGATGGCTTTGGCATGCATGCCCTTTGTCTTGTACGTTCGCAGGAAGTTCCTACAAGGCAAATCTTGTCTCTGCTGACAACTCGATCGATAGTGCAACCGCGACCAAAGCGAACTGGATCACTCTTCTCACCGGGGTTTCGCATGAAAAGCTCCAGGTGCTCCATCGGTGGACAGCGTACGCTTTTTTCATCCTAGCACTGATGCACACGTTTCCCTTCATTGTATACCATATCAGATTCCACGATATGGTGATGCAATTCACCATGGGCAATATTTTCTACTGGACTGGCATTGTCGCCCTGATCTTTCAGGCATGGCTCACGATTGCCTCTTTTGGGCCACTGCGGTAAGGATTTTCACGCAACAAAGAAGTCTTTGAGGGTATCACGTTGCTGACTGGAAGTCAGCGAGGTCGGTTATGAGTTTTTCAAGGCCTCCCATTTCTTCTCAGTTGTGGTGTTCGTCGTAATCTTCTTCTTTCACTGCGACTTTACACTAACGTCATGGTGTGTACCTCCGCACAGAAACTTGAGTATGTGCAGCATTAATTGTTTCATAGGGACTATTTCATCGCAACAGCTGCAGTTTATGTACCGTGTTTTATCTTCTCATGGATCAGGACCTGCTTCGAGCATGGCTGCAGCCAAAAGGCACGGGTTTTTGTGGAAGAAAACGATTTCACTCGCATCGCTATCCCGGCAACCTTTGACTGGGTCCCTGGGCAGCATTGTTTCCTCCGATTCCGTGGATTTGGTCTTCAGGCCCTCACCTCTCATCCGTTCACGATATGCTCTCTACCATCAGATTCAGCAGACCAGCCTTCTAGCTTAACTTTCTACATACGCCACCGGAGGGGGTTGACTGCTCACTTACACGATCGTGCTCTGGAACAACCTGGTGTAACAACCCCTGTCCTTGTTGATGGACCATATGGTGGTATCGACCTCCACAAGTACTTCGGCAGTGACCGTCTCCTAGTCATCGCCGGAGGCTCAGGAGCTGGGTGGACTTTGCCTTTTATTGAGCTATTCGTGAGATCTCGGGTGTCATCGGCTGAGAGTAACGCCAAGCCTCAGGAAGAATCACCAAGTAACGCTGGCCGTGTGTGCCGTCGTACAAACAGGCCTTCATCGCTACGAGTGATCTTGGCTACCCGGGACAGTGCTACACGCTTATGGTTCCACAAGACCGTTAGGGATTTGCTATCTAAGCATCCATCGCCTGATACAAACTCTGACATTGATGTACAAGTCTACCTAACTGGGGAGGCGCAGGCTCTGGCAAACTCACAGGACATTCCTAAAGATGTCGAGAAGGACGCCTCTTCCCCAGAAGAACAGAATCGTACAGTGAAGGGCAACGAGGCCCTAGGCCCGACCAGTAAGATCGGAGACTTTGGTGAGGAATTCCACGGCCGGCCCCCGTTGCCTGCCATGGTCGGCGACATGGCCGCTACGGCGAGAAAGACTGGGCAATCTCTAGGCGTCTTCGTCTGCGGGCCTAATACGATGCAAAACGATGTTCGAAATGTGGCTGCAAAGGCAAACTTGGAGATTGCGAAGAAGCCAACGTCCGGAGGAGTGTATCTTCATCTCGAGCATTTCTCATGGGCTTGAGAACAGACCTAGAAGCTCGAGGTCCTTCAAAATCCTGAAGCGGAAGACCTATGTAGCAACGGCCTTGCTTTCAGCATTTCATATCCTGGACTTAGGAAAGGCTGTAACCTAGTGTAGCTCTTTGCAAACAATATGCTCAAATTCCACATCAGCTGTTACGCCGGCCCGTGTAATGATAGACTCTGGTTTTCAAAGGCCTTCCCGCAGCATATCTCATGTCATACTTCGTCTTGTCCTTTTTGTTTCCAGACATTGAGGAGATCACACCCAGCTCGCGGATGAAGGGGCGTGACATTCCTCGCGACATGGACCTCTCGATTTTCATTCCAGGGGTTTCTAATTCCTCTGATGTCTTCGAAAGGGATCGCCGTTGACGACATCCATTTAATATCACATGGACTTCCAAATTGCGCGAGCTTGGAGAGTAAGGTTGCTCGATCTAGTGGCTCATCGTCATGGACGAACAAGGTATCAAGAGCCTGGTGAGATACCGAGTCATTCCCTTCGGATGCCACTTGATGGTTAGAGTTCGAGGTCATTCTGGACGGAAGGGCAGGCTTTCCTTCGGACCCCGGCCTTTTGCCAGCCTCGACAGCAGGGCTAAGCCTTTCAGATGTCCAGACAACCAGTTTCCTGCTGACGTGGAATACAACGGTCCCTTGGGAGACAGGTGGGCTCGGAATGATCTTGTCGTGAGCGGTTACCGAGTATGCACGGCGTCTTTCGGCCTGAGGTGGATTTCTGCCTCGGTCGACGGCAACGCAGTACCCCTCGGGTTCACAGGCGATCTCGGATTTCATGACGGCATAACCGAAGAATGAGCCAGACCCAGTGACCGAAAAGATCAGGTATACTTTTCCCGCCGTCTGCGAGCATATGTGTGAGCAGCATCTCTTCGCGGATCTTCATGCAACCTACCTGGAATGCTGCGTTCAAACGGTGGGCATGTCGACGAGGGATATACCATCGATTGGTCTCTAGACTATGGTACATAACCTCTAAAGAGAAGCTCTTGATGATGAAATATTTGTTCACTCTGAGTTCAGAGCACACAAACTCTGGAAAATGGGAGAGCTCCCGATCTAGTCTTCGTGTATCATTTTCGTGCTGGAGAATCGCGGGTCTTGTTCCGGGGCGATGTGCCAGGCCGTAGCTGATCTTGAGAGATCTTGATGTTGAAGCAGTCCGCAGGCGGCAATCAAGCCGCCGCCCTTGGAATACCGTCGACGCCGCACGTTCAATGGCTTCGATGCGATCTCTTTCGCTGTGGAAATTTACAAACGCATAATTGCTCTCCGGACTGTAGGAGATACTTGTTAAATTCTGAGTGGTTGGTCGAGAAAAGAAGTCTCTTATGCTCAAGATGTCGGCGGACGACGGAATATTGCCCACCCACAGGCTGTATTCTGAGGCTGGTCTTGGTGAAAAAGCGGGACCGCTGCGTGCTGTATCCTCATCCCATGTCCGTGAAGCGCTGCCATGGGTTGCTCCCACTGGCTTGATGGATTTCGACCTTCTCATAGTCGTCTTTGAAGTTGCTTGCAAAGCGTTTTTCCACAGGTGGATTATGTTGGCAGTGAGAGCAGGGGCTTTTGGGAGACAGTTTTGCTGTACTCTAAACTTCGCATTCCATGCTTTTACTCGTACCGCTGCCCTTTGTGGGATGCGGGGCCGAGATTCAATGCAGAGACAGACCAGAATCTATCGAGGCACCAGGAAACATGCTCAAGAGCATGTTGAGCATGTCTCCCCACCCTGAAATGACATGGCCCATGTCCCAATGAGCAGATAAAATCGATCGATAGGGGTACTGACCCTGTCAGTGGACTCACGACCAATAAATTAAATTTTGATGCCACCGTCAGCCTGGAACGCCTGCGCCAGTGGCTCTAGGCTTCTCCCACCAACTCGATTTTGTACAGTACAGTATATCGTGGGGTTCCGTTATTATCATTGGCGTTCGCTGGCCCCTGTCAAGCAGACGAAGCCCAATACAAGCGAAATCCATGTGTCTTGCTTTCTACAGTCTCCGGATATCATGACACGCTAAATGTATTTTCCATTACGCACTCCAAAGCAAGCCTTCGAGTCATCTTGTGATGGTATCTCTTCTGAGCTTCTCATCTATTGAACGTGAGGTAGCTTCTTGTTTGATCAGACAGAAAGCTCTTTTCCAGCAGAGCCGTCTCAGGAGTAGACTTCCCACACCGTCTGCCGACCATTCCAGCTCTGGCTCTGACCCAATGGCAACCTAAATACATGAAGAATAGTCCTATCGCAGCAACCGTAGCCAAAACGAGCCTCATGATGGCTCCCTCGAATTGCGAGTGCATTTCATCATTCTTGATCGCTTCGTAAGTAGAAGTTGGGAATACAAGATCTGAAGTATATGAAGCGCCAGGGAATAATATACCATCATCAACATGTCTCGAACCATCCGACACATTTTGTGGGTTGAGGACCCTGCGTATTGGTTAGAATCTTCAATCCTCATTCGTAGCAACAACGAGTCGAGTGACGAGCCTTACCCGAAAATAGTGTAGATAACGCCCCCCTCGAAAATCCAGTGATTTGATCCGACCACTTTAACATTGTTGATAAAAGTATTCTGACCATCTGCAGAGACAGAGACCTGCCCTCCTTCCAGCGTAGAATATATCCCAGGTCGAGGACCATTTGCGTCCGTAAGAACGATTTGGTCTACAACGTGATATGAAAGGATTTCGCGAAGTTCATGGGCTGACCACTGGTTCACTAAATTCCCAATCTGTCGAAAAGCATGATAGATAGGAAGGAATACGGTGACGTTCCGAAGCCGATCAATTGGAACTAGTTGCGCAGAGTCGTGCTGCGTTAAGATGGAGCCGACGAACGGCGAGGGACCGAACATGGGACTTTTGGTGTAAGAATGACTGAAATTTAAGGGTAGTGTCAACATTCTATCGAGGATATGAATGGCTCCATTCTTGCATGGGATCACAGCCCCAATTGTTTGCGACGGCCTTTCGAGATCTGACCACAATGTTGTGACGTTGGACCATGCCGAGGCCCTTGCAATGAGGAGATTTCCCCCTTCAACCTTGCTTCCTTTCACCCGCGGGAGGAAAGTCGAAAGGTAGAAGTTCCTGCCAGGTGAGAAGCGTAGGTGGGCATCTTTCACAACGTGATGAGAGAGGATTGTGAGTTTGAGTTCGTCTGAGCCCTCGACAGTCCAACTTGGCGACTGTTCAAATGCTTCATTGCGTGGCGCAAAGAGAGTGATTTCTTCCTCTTCAAGCCACGAGGCTAACTCGTGAGACTTGGAGATGTATTCGGCCAGAGATGAGAGTTCTGGAACAGCCTTGATGGTGTCAATGATGGTGTCTTGCGCCACGCACAGCAAGCTGTTCAATATGAACACGGCCCAGTGCCACCTCCTCATCCTCTCGTGTAGTAGTTGAAGAATAATACGAGAAAGCTCAGGTTTTCGATCACCGGATGAAGGCAGGAAGGAGAAGTAGGAGCATTGGCAAGCAGCAACCTCTACTTACTTCACTCAATCAACTAAGAAAAGAAAAATTGAAAATGCCTCCTATATCAAATGCGTTCGGCTGCCGGTTGGATGAAGCCCAACTAGAGTAAGACTTAAGCAGTACATATACATAACTATCGACTCTTCAGCTGGATCTCCAGCGCTTAGACATTCGAGCACAGATTCTTGAGCCGGGTGGGCTGGAGGTCACGGCCGAGTGTTCCTAGTCGTAAAGGCTGGAAACTTGCTCTCACCAATCTTACCCTTGGCAAATTGATGTGTAGCTTCGTTGCTTGCCAACCGGGGCGGGCCAGGTTAGGGCCCTAGTCTTGGTGCCTTTCCCACACCATAAGATCACTTTCTACATGATACTTGTATCCTAATAAGTAATGCCCCGCTTTTCTCAGCCCTCTCTTGAGCATGTTATTGTCCTGGCACGCTGTCTATAAGGTGTTGGTGAAGAGGACCAGGAAAATCGCCCACGAAATAGGGGTTGGTGGTCGATCACTCTGGTTGACCGGGAAATAACCTCATATATCGACGAAGGATGAATTCAAAATACATTGTCGTACTATTGAACGACAAATGTTTCCGTCCTGCTTGTCCCATTAATCGGGAATGTCTAAATCATCAATGCTCAAGTATAAGACCAATACATTTTTGACAGACGATTACGAACTGCCTTCTCGGCCAAGGACCGTCGCCGATGAAGAGGACATCGATCCGCGCAGCACGACGCAGTATTTAGGGATCAGTCAGCTTGGGGAGTCCTCCTCCATCCTCAGTCTGCCTCAGCCAAGTCCCTGTGGATCGACACACCAGTTGATTCATCACCTGCACGGGGATGTTCTCGCTCGGGCAAGATACATCGATTATGTTCGAGCTTGGTGTCGAATCCGAGGGCCGGAACTCTTGTTCCTGGCTATGGTCGTAAGCCTTCAGATTGCCCTGGGAGTGTGGCAATGCTACGAGTATAGCACACACGCTGAATATCAATCGGCTTTCGGATGGGGAGTTGCGATGGCGAAAGGTTGTGCTGGCGCCCTGTATCCCACGCTGTTCTTTATGCTGATGAGCATGTCCCGCTGGGTCCAAAGCGCCATGACCCGGTTCAACATTGGCACGAGGTTTATCAACTGGGACAAGAAAAGATCATTTCATATCAGACTGGCTCTTTGCGTCATGGTGTTGTCTTTCGCACACTCTATTGGACACCTAACGGGGTCGTTCGTCCACGCCAGCCAGGAGCAAAACCATGCGGCGGATCGTCAGGTGCTCGGCAATAAGATCAATGGGTTGAGTTACGGGGCGTTTGTGACATCTCGACCTGGATGGACAGGGATAGCGGCACTGATAATCTTCGTCACCATCAGCTTCTGCAGCATCAATTTCGTGCGAACTCGATGGTTCGAGGTCTTCCAGTGCTGTCACTTGATGTTCTTCCCCATGGCGGCCTTGTTGATGGCTCATGGGAGCTCAGCATTGCTTCAATATCCGGCTCTCGCTTTTGTGATCATGGTACCTACGACTTTGATACTGTTGGAGAAACTGTCTCGAGCTTTCCGACTGACCCGAGACTACCGGGGAATTATTGAGAAGTTGAATGAGGAAATGATCAGAGTCACCATTGATCTGGGTCGGAGACCGCGCACTTGGTGGTCTTTCGTGCCCGGTCAGTTTGTTTTTCTGCAGATACCCAGAATCTCTAAGTTCGAGTGGCATCCATTCACGGTCGCGCGCATCAGCAACCACGACCTCTGCTTATATGTTAAAACAAGTGGGAAATGGACCAGAAGATTGGGTGAAATGCATGGCTTTGGGAGGGTATGTTTAGATGGCCCATTTAGCGCACCCACACAGCGCTTTTTCCAGTACGATCACAACATCATGATCGGCCTGGGGGCAGGCATAACCCCTTCCCTTGGTATTCTCGACGCGTTGCTCAATTCTCCCGGGCACCGATGGACAAGACCTCAAAGCTCGGGTGTTGAGACAGGCCGCAGCGGAATGAAGTCCGCAAGTGAGAAAAATTACACTGTTGATTTTCACTGGGCGCTGAAAACAAGCTCGGGAATGCTGCCCATCTTCCAGCTCTTATATGATGTTCAGAATTGCTCTCACAACTCTCTTGTCGACACGAACGCAATCATTCACCTTACGAGTTCCAAAAAGCTTCAACAGGCAGCTCTCGAGAATATGGATACCGCTCGTTTAGCAGGTGCGGTGAACGAAATATCTCCGTCATCGTCTTTCTCCGGTAATATTGAGCGAGGCAGGCCAGATTTTGGCAAGATTTTGGTGCAGCACTACGAAAAATTGAGCGCCCTTCAACAAGACCACGCCCTCATGAACGGTTACATGAGATCCAAACCGATGAAGATCGGTGTGTTCTATTGTGGCGCTGCAAACGTCAAACCATTTTTGCGGCGGTTATGCCTTGAGAATACCCTACGAGGAATCTTGGACCACTTTGATATAGAGTATCATTTCCACCCGGAAGTATTTTGACCAGAAAATGTAATAGAGATGAGAACCAATAACATAGAAACTACTGCAGAGTGCAAGCATGGTTCTGAAATGGCAATCATGTGTAATAACAGTCTCGCTGCAGAAAGGAAACCCAACTTTGGTGTAAAATATATTGCTGCTTTTCTTTGTAAACTTCACCTTGGTACGAGAGGCTCATGAGCAAGTCAGAAGATGGGTTCACGGTCCTTCGCCAATCACCCAACATATCAGCGACATCTGGCCCCTGGAGTATCCCTCCTCGTATTCAGTGACTCTGCCAAGCTAGAAGAGCACATTTTCTGTCAAAGAGCAAGTTTTGCCAATGACAAAGCACGTTTATCGCCTTACGCCGCGGCTCCCCAGCCTCGCTCACTGATGGTCATGGGTCCACATTCGAAATTGCTTGAGCAAGATAGCCAACATGACCTGACCCTGACCTACGGAGTAAAGTATACTCCTGTTTTGCTCTACCTTTCGCCACGCGAGCACTCCAGTGAAGACAGTCTCGTTCGCTCGCGAACCAGCGCGCAGGCAATAGCTACTTGTGTGGTAATAATTTCCACCCGTAATTAACAAATGGTACTGTAGCAATTTTATGCTCTAGAATTACATAGGACGCGCCCCGACCCTACACAATAGCATATACTATATATATCTATATATGTACATTTATAGATATGGAGTCTGCGCTGGTATATTTGTTGACCAGCCCCATGTTTTCCAGTCTCATTTACACTGTCTTCTTGTCTACATAATATATCAGTGACAGTCATTCGCTTTTAGTCGTCGCGACATATCATTCGTTTACACAAATCCGTTCTTCCATTTTATTGTTGGGTAGCCGATTCCTTTATCAGTTGCGGACTTGAAACAGATTGTCGATATGTTGAAAACAATTGCCATTCTTTCGGCAGTAACATCATGCTTTTCCTTCGCTAATGCTGCAGACTCCGTTGTCAGCTGGCCTTCACCAGCTTATGACGAGATCGAGGATCTAATGGTCTTGAACTCCGGATACAATGCTCGAAATTTTCCGTTCCCTTTGGTCCCATGCACCTTCACTCGAAGTCCCGGTCATTCGATTGCTGGAGGCTTTCTACGGACAGCCTTCCATGATATGGCAGCAGCAGATGTACGAGCAGGAACGGGAGGTCTAGACGCCTCAATTGGCTTCGAAATGGACTCCAGTATCTACATTGAAAATACTGGAGTTGCGTTCAACAATACTATGACCTACTTCTCTAGCTACTTCAACAGCCGAGCGACCATGTCTGACCTCATTGCCCTGGGGGTATACGCATCTGTCAGAGCCTGTGGTGGACCTGCTGTGCCGTTGAAAGCCGGTCGTATCGATGCCACCAACGCCGGGCCCCAAGCCGTTCCGGACCCGAAAAACGATACGGTCAAGATGACCGCGGAGTTCGCACGCATGGGATTTTCTCCGCAAGAGATGATACAAGTCGTTGCCTGTGGTCACACCCTGGGAGGCGTTCACTCGGCCGAACACCCCACTCTGGTCTTGCCGAATACTACGGCTCTTGGGGTCACCGATTTTGACACCACCAACAGTACATATGACAACAAAGTCGTCACCGGGTATCTCGACGGTACATCCCAGAACCCACTGGTGGTTGGGCCAGACGTGGATTCACGTTCGGATCTACGGATCTTCTCCTCTGATGGAAACAAGACGGTGTCGTCCATGGCAGACCCGTCGTCTTACTCGACCACCTGCTCAAAGATCCTCGCAAAAATGATCGACACTGTGCCCGATAATGTGGTTTTGACAAGTGTCATCACCCCATACGATGTCAAACCATACAATCTTCACCTTAGCGTCGTGGGGGATGACGATCTGCAGTTCTCTGGGGCGATCCGGTTCAAGACCACTTCGATTCCAAAGTCGGCCATCTCAAGCATTCAACTTGCCTACAGAGACAGAAATGGAGCTGATGGTGATGTGATTGGGACCACAATTCTGGGTGACGCATCAGGCTTCGATGATACATTTACCGTGAGCATTGAACCCTGATATTCAACCCTGATATTCAACCCTGATATTCAACCCTAATATTCAACCCGAGAAATGGTATTAACGAATAACAATAGTTCTTTGGTTTCAACTCTACCGTCCCTGCAAAAACTTCCATCTCATCTTTTACAGTAGTCGTCGCTCTGTCGTCGGGTACAGTGACCTATGACAACAACCATCAGGGGTTCCCTGTTCAGGATACAGTGTTTGCGCAAACCTTGAACTCGAACCTCGCTGCGTCCGATGCCCAGGGGAATCAGGCAGCTACCTTAGTCGCTGCGGTATGACTACGAGGCTCTCTTGATGATGATATCAGACTGATAAGCGCTAATAGGTCCGGAAGGGGACGATTGGAGACGTAGAGCTGACCTTTTCTTCGGTTCAAAAGATGACCTACAACAATCTGCCTACAATCTCCAAATCCACCATTTCAATGGCAAGGGCCTGCGAGTCTGAGTACTATACATTTTACTCCGCGACGTACAGTATTGCCACAGCTGCAGTCAATGGCACCAAATACGACGTGAGCGTAGGTGGATTCTCCGATAGCTTCAAGAGCCTCAAGCTGCCCGTGGCTCCGAATGCCTTGAGTTGCCAAGGTGGTGGCAATTCTTGGTCGAACACCACGTCAAGTACGTCAGCAACTAGCTCTGTCCCAATACCATCGACTGGAGACGCAGATACGTGGACTACTGCCATCGTGACCGCACTCACGACGTACTGCCCATATGCCACCGAGGTTGTGCAGGGGTCAAGGACATACACGGTCACGCAAGCCACAACTCTGATCATTACCGATTGTCCATGTACAGTCTCCTGGAGCTCAGGACAAAGTACCACCACCAGCAGTGCTGATTACTTTGCTACGACGATCTCGAACCTTATGCATGCAGGCAATGCTGCTCCGACAGCGACCAACACCACTTCTCCGCCCAGCTTTAATGCCGAACAACCGACACTCTCAGTATGGTCGGCCCCGACGACATTGCCCACTATTCAAACCTACACGGGCGGCGCTCGCATCATTGTGCCAGGACTAAGTCTGATTGCCGGACTTGCAATTGGCTCGATCGTCTTCTTGTAGTTAGATCTGATATGGATGCCCATTTGTAATTGCATCGAAGTTCTCGCAGTCTATGCTTGGGCTGAGAGTGACAGATCGAGCTGTAGGAACTTCTGCGCAAGTTGAAACCCCAAATCTCTAACCTATGATGCATTCTGGCGGTAGTGCGGCGCATACTGGGGCCGAGATCTCGAGTTGCACAATAATCAGAATACCGCACGGGCGAGTGTGAGATTCTGTTTCTCCTGAGCTGTCGTCAGCATCTCAATCCCCCTGTCTGGCAACATTTCATATAGTTCAATTCCTCTTTGCTGGCCAGAGAATCAGCTATTTGGCTACTACAAATAAATATGACATTTGAGGTGAATGCTGAACGACCGTCAAGATTGTCCAGTATCAAGACTTATCGGCCTGTGGACGTATTGCTCTATCTCTGTTTGACAAGGTTCTTGACACCTGCCTTATTGTCCTCGATCCTCGTATAGTGGAGCTTCTACTCGATCTCCCGGACTTCCTTTTCGAAAGTGAGTTGTTGTGTCGCCTCGATCTACAGGATCGATAGATGCAGCTATTAACCAACAAATTGTAATGCCAGTCGAGTTTTGCCCACAACACCAACCCGAGCATAAACACGATGTTCGGATTGGACCAGTCGAGTCGTTCGAGTTGGCCTATGCGGTCAACAAGCCTTGAAAGAGGTCCAAAGGGCGATAGGAAGTAGGCGACAGACTTCGTTGAACGCGTGCTCCTTGCGAAGATATCCTTGCAACAGACTTTAGGAGCTCCCGCTCTTTTCGCAGCGACCGCAATTAGTCTACGTCGATACAATATGGATCATCTTGAACACTTTGACTTCAGTCTATTGGAATGTAACACTAAAGGTGGCTAAGTCCTGACAGCAGGATACATTTTTTGGTCATGAAGCCAAGCCCGACTGCAGTAGAGGACTTTTTTGGGCAGTCACAACCAGAGCCTTCCAACTCCACGTTACCTCTCCCGTTCCATACTTTTCTTTGAAATACTTCATGATTGCTTCAGAACCTCTGTCCTGCCATCTCTCAATCTCCTGCTTTGTCCAGAACTTATTCATTACCAGACCGAAAGTCCACGGCAGCATTGTTTCAACCACCCCGACATTTTGCCATCTCGTTTCATTCACCTCCACACATACCTCAACGTCAGTAAATCCAACTTTTTTACAGTACGTTTTTACAGTGTCTTCATTGTCCCATCTAGTGGGTACTTCTTCTTGGGACATCATTTGCATTATTTGCGCATTGCTCGGGAATGGAGGCAGATCTGGATCGTGGTCGAGAGCCTCGCGGAATTCATCTGCCCACCCATTGGACTTCCAGCCTGTGAATGCCAGTGTGCCCCCAACAGCAAGCATTCGGTGACATTCACGTAAGCCGACCAGGGGGAGTGGGAGGATGAATGGAACGAAGTTGAAAAAGATGTGGGTGAATGAGGAGGAAGGGAGTTTTGTATCCTAAGGTTCACCAAACCAAATTAGTCGGGGCTCTGTGGTTGGTTATGGGGTGCGCAGATACGGAAGGAAAACTCCAGAAAGTGATAAATACCATCGCATCGGCGACGAAAGCTTTCACATTCTTCCAGCTTCCCGACTCGATCTTTTGAGATAGGGAACCAATCATCAGTTCAGATATGTCCGCACAACTCAATTCCAGTTTAGCTTTATCATGAGAGGAAAGACTGGACAGTATGCGAAGAGTGACAGTGCCAGGGCCACAAGCATTATCGAGCACTTTAAGAGGGAAGTCTTCAGGTGGCGGAAAATGGGCTTGTTTTAGCATAAGAGTCGCAAAAGGACCCATGATGCTGTCGGCTATCTCAGATATTTTGGTAGATGCCATGGTCAGCGGTCGACATGAATGAAGCAGAGATACGCTAAGAAGCACTGTTTTCAGGCAAGCGACGGCCTCATATTTATGTGTGCATGTGCATGAATTCGAACTCGGCACTCCAAATCTTCTCCCTGAGACTTTTAGGAGGGAATGGTTGAGTACTCGCAAGCAAATTTGCATAGGTAGAGACTAGCGCTGGTACGTGGGGAAACTTGCTCATCAGATCTAGCCCATTGAAGATGGAGTCTACGGACTTGGAACAGAGAATAGTGGTAGGTAGAAACAATATAGGTCACTGATTGTGGTTGCTTCGGTCACGAAGAAGAAACTGTGACTGCGAGGTGTTGGTGGAGAAGTCTGTATGTTGCATATTGGCAAAACAGCAAAACATGGTCTGGAGAGAGGAGGTAATTCATGATAAAGCTCAGACCCCCATGAGGCATTGGGGAAGCCTTATTTTGCCCGCCAGCCAGGTCGGCGCAATCGTGGTGTGATCAGGAACAGGGTAGATCGTTTACTTCATGTAGCAAAATAGCGGTCTTCTTTGATACAGCTTCAAATTGCCCAAGGGCGAACAGTTCTTAGTCAACCTATGGCTTCGATCTTTCTACCCTGGCTTGAGAAGAGGATCGACAACCTGACTCTCAAGCAATGGTGAAGCTTTTCTGGACCAAAAACCACCAAATAGCTGCATTTGCCACCCGCTTCTCCTGCAACGATTCTGCCGTATGAATCGTGGATGACTACAGTTGGGTATGCCCATTGTCTATTCTTTTGGACTTCCCTCTCAGCTAGTGACGCCGTTGAATACTCATTTTCGGCTGAATGATGGTCTAAGTATCATAGAGTATCTAGAACCGCTCTTTGGGCCTGTCGCAAAGGGGGGAGGGTGGTTTGTTCTTCGGGTTCCTGTCGAGTCGCAGACGGTGAGGTTTCAAGTCGACAGTATCAGTCTCCTGCCATGCCCGAGAGAATGACGAGCCGTCTGGTGGCGGTCCTACAAGGTATATCAAGCGATACTTGCCAGCAAAGCCAGCCAGCCTGATGACGGGTGGTTGACACACATGTGACGAGGGTCGAAGGCCCATAAAAGTTAGTCGGGACTCCGTAAATAATGATGCCGGTGACGGTGCACATGCAGGGAAGATGAAGAACAGGAGCTGGGCTCGTCGACGGCAGATGGTGCGGTTCGTCCGACGCAGACGTGGAAGCCCGGCAACGTTTTCGAATGTTGATGTGACCAACGAGAAGGTAGTAGGCTGGCTGATCTTATCCTCGAAATCTACTCTTTTCACCAGTATTTCGGTGTGTCTTCCCCTTGATAGTCCCACCTGAGAATACATCGTACGGAGACGCTCATAAGTGGAAAAAGTACAAGCCCGGACAAGCTCATGTGTTGAATGCCACGCTTGGGGTCTGTGGGTTAACCTCGCTTAGTTTTGGCATGGCATATCATTGGTTTGGGAACTTGCTCTCTACTGCAAGCGATGCAAAACCTGCTCACGATGTGCTGGGGTGCTCGTGTTACCTCTCTAGCGCGCAAAAAAGCAATCAGCTACCCTTTGTCGAGCCGAACCGCTGCCATTCTTCTATTTGCGCTGTTGGGCGACGCGGGATTTGAGCAAGTTTTGTGCTGTCCCACACGCACCTCTCGCGGATACTTTCACACATTCTTGCGTGCGGAGCTGTAGTCGAACAGATCATCGCCGATCAGTACAATATGGCCCAAATAATGCTTCTCCTAAATTGAGACTTGCCGCCGCGCTTTTGGTCCTGATATGTCAAATATAATTCAATTGCTTGGCCTCTGTGCCACTCGAACTTTCTTCATGCAATATTAGGGCCGCGTCAAATATTGGCACATCATGGCACTATGGTTGACTCAGCCAGTGAGGCTACATCAGTCGCGACCATATCACTGCAAACTGAAGACTTCCGATCTTTGTCACTACCAGCAGGGATACTGGCGTTTCTGGTACGGATTGAGAACGATAGGACTGCTATAACAACCCAGCTTACCCAAGTCCGTCATAGGAATGAATCAGACCACAGATACGGGTTGCCTACCGTCGCCTTGTTCATGACCGGTATTATTCTCTTTTCGATAGGATACCTGGTCACCGTCTTCATCGTACCTCGTTCAAAGTGGCACCAGAATGGCCTTCTCCGCAAGACCTTGGCCGTCTCTCGATACCTCTCGTATCGCGGGTATCGCATCTCAAGCCTTCGGTGGAATTCGGCCCCTTTAGGGATTCTGTTTCTAGGCGCGGTGGGCATTATATTCTTCTTCAGTCCGTCTTCGATTATGGTCTTGCCTATAGTCTTGGTGCAGAGGCTGATAGCGATCAGGTATGACCTTAGGGCCCAGACCGTACTACTGGCACAACACAAGGACAGTCATATTTGGGTATTCACCCCCAATTGCAACCAGAACTGGATTCATGTCCATAGCATGCATACCATTCATCATGTTCGTGTCACAGCCTGAAGTCAGTTGGCGGAAACGGACTGACAATCGAAAGAGCCACATCAACGAAAGCAAACATGGTCACTTTCGTTACTGGTGTATCGCATGAGAAACTTCAAGTATGAGTTTGGCCCTCAGATGAAATAAACCCCAGTTTACGCGCGACAGCCCATGGGCTCACAAAGATGTAGGTCTTCCACCGCTGGATCTCGTACGCCTGTCTCGTTCTTGCCTTAGTGCACACCTTTCCTTTCATCATCTACCTCATCCACAGAGGCACGATGGTCAAAGAGTGGAATACAGAAATCTTTTATTGGACGGGGACTGTAGCCTTGCTGTTTCAAGGCTGGCTGACTTTCGCATCGTTCAGTATCCTTCGGTAGCATTCCATTGAAGGCCTAATGTTGGAATAGTCTAACAAGTCTGCAGTAATTGGTGGTACGAATCATTCAAAATCGCCCACAGGGTTTCGGCCGCCATGTTCGTACTTTTCCTCTTCTGGCACTGTAACTTTGAGCTTTCATCTTGGTACGTTCCGGCCAGAGGGCTTGTAGCACGTCACGGGAGACACTTAGAAAGATTGTCGCAAAGCTAACAGTCTTTAGGGACTATTTCATCGCAACGGCAGCAATCTATGTCCCATGTTTCCTTTATGCCCACATCAAGACCTACGTCGAACACGGCTTTGGTCTGAAAGCAACTATGAACCTGGAATCCAACGACGTCATCCGTATTGCCATCCCCGTTAGCTTTCCATGGGTTCCAGGGCAACATATTTTTGTGCGTTTTCGCGCTCTGGGTATCCATGCTCTGACATCTCACCCTTTTACTATCTGCTCACTGCCTTCGCTAGAGGGCCCATCAGAAGCAGTTCTACATATTCGACCACAGGCTGGCTTCACAGCCCAGCTGTACAGGCACGCCGCGGCACATCCAGGCATAGCGATCCCTGTCTTTCTAGAGGGCCCTTACGGTGGCATTGAACCAGGAAAATTCGTCGGCAGCGACCGTGTTATAGTTGTGGCTGGAGGATCAGGCGCAGCCTGGATGCTACCACTCATTGAACTCTTCGCCAGGAAAGCTACACAGATCCGTGAGGTTGAAATGACCGAGCAAAGCACGCCGGTGCAGACTTTTCCAAGTCTTCACGCTGTCCTTGCTACCAGAGACCCATCAACTTTTGCATGGTTCCAGGAAGCTGCTAACAAGATCTTAGCCAGATACCTCCAGGTTGGAGTCTCTAGCATGATTGATGTAGAGATCCATATCACCCGAGGCATCAAGGACAACCTGCAGAGGGAGATTCAGACCGAACTTGGCAAGAAGTCAATTATCGACGATGGTCCCGATTCAAATACATTGCGGCTAAAAGGCAAAGAAAGTGACATCGACGTCAATGAAAGTGGACATTTCATTAGCTGTAAAATGCTGTCAGGTCGCCCGAATCTTCCGGCGCTCATTCGAAAGGAAGGCTCCCTCATGACAAATTCGCAGAAGACACTGGGCATCTTTGCTTGCGGCCCAAGTTCCATGCAGCACGATCTACGAGTTGCCGCCGCAAGTGAGAATGTTGGTATACTGAGGAGTTCTGGGACGAGTGTCTACTTGCACCTGGAACACTTTTCTTGGGCTTGAACATATCATGTATGTGTCAAGTGTTTAGCAAGGAATATGTGCTGGCCATGACATCAAAAATCTATCGAGGAGCGCCATGTGCCAAAAACTTAGCCTACGCAACGCTTTATAAAATTTACGTTAACCGAAGACGGGCCTATATAGGTCCTCCTGTGGTGAGCCATCGACATCGTCAAGGGTCGGCCGTGGATTATCCGTGCATGGTGTTTCTGGATCGCCAGGACCGCTGCACTTGGTGTTTCCTCGTCATTCATCAGGCTATCGTCTATCTCGGGTTGTCCTCTCACATTGAGCTGAATTATATGGAACGCTCTACTCATGTTGGAATGGGTATAGCTTTCGACAGTTTCGGCTGAACGAATCGTGGGGACCTCCACACGGGACGCATTTGAGGACGAGCTCGGTGCATTCGCTGTGACGATGACCTCCGTTGGCACATCTTGCACACCTCTAAGCGTTTTTACATTGCCTTATGCCCAAGCTCTTAACAATGAAAACATTGCTCTGGCTGTAGTCGTCATTCGAACACCCTCGTATAGCCGGACTCCTCCGCTACATGGAAGAAACCCTCCGCAGAAGGCGACTGGTGTCGCTTCCTTTCATTAGGTATATCACTATCGAGCCTTATATCTTTACCACGGTTTTCTTGCTTAGTCATGACACCCTGACCACCGTTGTTTCGTTCTCTCGCTAAAGACCTCTACTGCTCTGGTTCGAATCTCTCCATGTTCGTCTAGGATCGCTAGTCGGTTGACATCATCCACTTTGTTTAGGTAGAGTTCGTCTCGGAGCACTCTAATGTCGCCTATGATCTTCGTCTTTATCGCTTGCCTAGGCATCTAGTTCGGGCTCGTCCCTACATGCGATTTGAACTCGGCTCGTGTTTCTGGCATCTCTAGTCACCTCTCGACAGCGCCAATTGTCTTGTCTATTTCTGGCTCGCATCTCTTCTTTCACGGCCGCTCTGACCGCGTCGGGTGAGGTTCTCTCGGCGTCTTCTTCTGCCACTCTCGAGGTGTTGATCACGCAGCATAGCGCATCCGTTGTGGCTAGGCAGCTGCGGACCCGTCTCACGTCGTGGTTATCGGCGGAAGCCGTCACGTTCAGTGTCGTTTGCGTGGGCTCTGCTCTGTTTTGGTATCTCGCTACAGATGCCCATGATCGCGTAGGAGAAGGAGATGCGATGATGGTGCTAACTTATGACTGTAGGGAATGGACTTGCACCTGTAGTTGGACATGTTATCTCGTGAGATTGTACTGTTCTTCTTTAACGTCCGCCAGGTTAGCACGTATAACTTCGATGGTGGTGTTCTGCTTCTCAATAAGACTAGTTTACTACGTGATTATCTCTTTAGGGTTTAGGATGAGCCTCACGAGCTCGTCAAGTTTCGTATTTATTCTCTCGATTTCGCTGACTAACTCGAACTTAGAGCTCTCTTTATCGTCTATAAGGATAGTTATTCGCTTGTCTTCCATACTCTCTGGTGAGACTTTTGAATTCCGCTCGTGATGGTGTCCAAGATCCATCTTCCTCGATAGCCACCGTGATTGTCTCCAGATTTGATTCATCGTCCCTGCTCGCTTGAAGCGCTTTGACACTAGGCTCTCTCGCTCTGTTCGAGGGTGCTCGTTCTCGCTTTGGTGTGACCGGTGCTACTACACTACGTAGTCGGCATCTTCCAGTCGGGAGCGTCAACCGCGTCAAGTTTCTGGATTTCCCGCGACGCGTCTCATCCCCGTCCGATATGCTTCAGATAGGTGTTTCGTCGAAATTCTCCTCCGATACTGTATACAGTACAGTACCAATGGCATGCAAAACTGGTTGATATGATTGATTGCCTAATTGATTACATCATAGACTGTCCCAGCCGCCGATTAAGTGGCAGCTATGCAGCGTTCGACTATGAGTAGGATACCCCTACTAACAATCATAAGATCTGTTCTGTATCTATCTACGTGTCCGGCCTTTCCTGGCCGTCCTCTTCTTCTGCTTACTAAAAAACACTCGTCTGCGCCGGTGTATAGTTGGACCGTGGACGCGACCGACAGGACTTGGTCCGCGGCCTTCGTCCAGGCCGTGTTCTACTTGGCTGGATTGCTATCGCTGGGGGGCCCTGCCCAGCGCCTGGCCGGCCCCAGTGCGATAGCCACTGGTTAGGAGTGCGCTGCATGAAGTGCAGATGTACTGTATGGGAAGTACGTGTGGTGTGCGAGGCTTGCTCGTTGATGCTTCTCAGGTCAATGCTCGCTCTCGACCATCGAGACACCATCAGCAGCTGAACGCGTCGCCACGGCGTCCTTCGTGTAGATGGCGTGCCACGATGTCAGCGAGCTGTGAAAGTGACAGTGTGTGATGCGTCTGAAAGGTATTTTCTGAGCTATGGGTGGTGTTAGTAGTGATAGCATGATTCGATATGGTGACTTCCTAAAGTGTGTTCTCTATATGATAGATCATCTCTTTCCCGTTAACTCCGCCTCTTCACCGTGTACTCTTCAGCTTCTAATACTGTAAACTATAGTTAGGCAGGAAGATAGAGTGCTGAAGTCCATCTTCTATTCAGGGGTGTACGTGAAAGAGGTAACACTCTCTTCCCGCGCACTAGTACTATATATTAGGTGTTTCGAGAGGCTCGAAAGGTGATTTTCAACGTGTTAACGCGTTATTAATGGAGGAAATAAAGAAGATAGACATATCTAAAGATATATTCTATGTTATGTGTGATTGTAGTGATATCGTGTTAATTATATGCCTCTTTTTAATTCTGCCTCTTCGTCGCGTTTCTTCACACTTTAACACCGTAAACTGCGGTCAGGCAAGAAAACAGGGGACTCAAGTCCGTTTTCCATCGTGGGTGTACATGAAAGGGAGGCCATTCCCTTCCTATATACTGGTACTATATGTTAGGTATTTCGTGAGGTGCAGAGAGTAATTTTCGGGACTTTAACACGTCGTTTATGAGGGAATCACTGCGTTGTTGAGCTCCTCCTAGCACTTAGAGACAGCCAGACTGTTTCTCTGAGAGTTCCTAGCGGACATCACGTGGAGGTGGGAGCTCATCGTCCGCCCTGGTTGATATGATATTGTAAAGAAAAGTTGCTGTAAGTGGATCGTCAGCAGTATCATCATTTGTTCCGTGTTATTCTAACGTGCCTCTATATTAGCCAATCATTGTGAGGCGTATATCAACAGATTACACTACGTAATCTTTTAGGGGGGATTTGCTCTGTTTTCAAGACAGATTTTGTCTCTACCCATATGGGAGCGTTAGCGACCATGACTAATATGACCGCGCGATTGACTGTCATATTAGGTGTGAGTGTCAGACGCGCAAATTATTGTCCTGGTGCATTACCTATTCCAACGCCCAAATAGTCGTATCCCGAAACAAACCTCCCCGTAAGGTACATATTGTGACTTTTTCTCACCAGAAGCTGGAGAATGTTTGGGGACAAGTGATTGTCATGCAACCATCAATAGCTGCCTATGTGTGTCTTCGTGCCTAATCACATGTCCTTTGGTCCTGTCTTGCTCCCCAAAAAGTAGCCATGAGTCGCCATTCGCCTTAAAACACTAACTCACCGGGCTCTCACCCACACCCAACTCCAAAAGAAAAATTGTTCCCAGTGCAAGACTAGGAGTCTAAACTTCAGACCCTGCGGGCGGCTTTCAGAGGTTATCATACCGCGACTCGATTCTCAGTTTTTGAGCTGATGGGCGCTCGCAGATGACCCCTCTCTGGGCCAAAGTTTCGGCTTCTCTCCTTACACCGCTATCGCTGTTCACCTCATTCGTGTCCTCTAAGCTACAACTCTTATTACTTGGTCCTCTACAACCCCACGCTCCAACCCGTCAGTTTCTCTGGCCCCTTCTTCTTCAGCCAATTTTTCTCTCTTCTCATCAACCCATCGTCTCCACCTAGGGTAGAAGACTACACTCAGACTGCCAACTAGAATGAACATTCCACAGATGGAGGCTCCAATATATTCATAAGCGTCGCCGGCTGCAGCAACACCATCCCAGAATTTGCCGGTCGGACTCGCGGTATTCAATACAAGAGACAGTAATTGGAGTATGCCGATGACAATGGCACAGATGACGGTTAAAATTGTTAAGATAAACGAGTAGTAAAGGAATGTCAGAGGATCCTTAACCCGAGTGCGGATCTGATCTTCTGGGAGCCCTGGCATTTGAACTTGAAGGGTGGTTGATGATGCACCCAATGCCACGGCCATAGGTTCTTGTTCTAGCCTGGGGCCTACCTTGCAGCTTGACTGGGAGAGAGGAGTGGTAATGTCAACATCTCTGTCATGAGGTTGAGCGCCACCTTGAGTCGGATTGCGCGTCACCGCATACGACGCCTTGGATGCGCCTCGAGTGGTTTTGGGAGCCGTGAGCAAGTTTTCTTCCGTATAATGGTCGGTACTCATGCCCATGGGTGCTACGTATAGACTCATCATCAGAGCGCCATCCATTGTATCGACAAGGCACATGCCCGCGGTGAAAAGGATAGGAAACAGCAAGATCAGCCAGATACTAGTACCTGCTGCACCCTCCACACTGCTGATTCCGAGCAGTGCTATCTCGCTGCTCGTATCGAACCCGAGTCCAAACAGTACGCCAACTGGATACATTTTCCATGGGCGATCGATGAGTTTGAACAGCTTTTCAAGTATCCTGAATATGAATCCTCCTCCTTGTACTTTGAAGCCTTCGACCTCAGCTTCTTGTGGCTGAAGGTGAACTACTTTTTGGATCTGAGTATAGAGTTTGTAGAGGATGTACGCGTTCAGGAGGCCCAAGAGGATGAGAAAAGCGGCTGAGACTGATGTGCCGATGATGCCTCCAATGTTGCTGAAGCTGCCGAAGCGTTTCTGCACACCAGCGGCAGTAGCAGCGACGACAACAGATGTGATGATGACGATCGTACTGTGGCCAAGACTGAAAAATGTGCCGACCGTCACAGGACGCTGACCAGTAGCGATCAGTCGGCGCGTCATGAGGTCAATCGCAGAGATGTGGTCTGCATCGAGGGCGTGGCGGAGGCCGAGACTGTAGGCGAGGGCGCTGGTCCCCATGAGTTGACCGTGGTTCTTCGCGACGAGCACTATGCCAGCAACAGCCCATACCACTAGGTTAACGAAGATGAGAAAGCCGATGATAAGTAGCGCACGAAGTGGTAGGCGGCGCAGGTACGGGATTCGCGCATGTCTGTGAGCAAGTCGATTGCTTATCTTTTCAATGAATGTATGAGATCCGTGAAAGCGTTGCTTGTGTCTGCCGCGAGAAACATCAAGCGCCGAAGATTTAGAGGGACGGGCCATACTGAAAACGAAGCTTCTCTGTCTCTAAGCGGTGATTGTACAGTGGTTGGCGAAAAGCTCTATTGGGTTGTGCCAATTTCATATAAAAGTTTTTACCCCAAGGCTTTTGCATCGCCAAGGCTTCATATTTGATAAGAAGGAATTTATATCTTTTGATAAGGAGGAATTTATCTCCTCTCGATAACGAGGAATCTCACCAATCATAGATTTCCGAAGCTCAAATGCCAAGCTCTAATCAGCACTCACAACATGGCGAAACTTTGTAACTTTCAACCATAGCATTCAAGAACAGTGTCACATCTTCTGAGCTTGCGCACTGCATCTGGCCGTTCGATAATCTACCATACACCTCAACATGTTTTGACGAGGAAAACAGGGTGTGCGGAATAAGATCCTATCGAAACAAATACGATTCGCGTATTAGCAGTCTAATATACATTTACGAGAGTGGGTCTCAGAGATACCACGACAAGGTCGGCTGCTTTGTTAGATATAAGCGAGACTTATATTTCGAACTTTACGTGAGAGAAATTTGTAGTGTATTTAAAAGGGGAGGGCGGTTTCGGGAAATGATATACTATATCTCGATATTTCTAAGTGTGGATCTGAAAGGTTGATCCTAAGCACGGATTTCAGAGGCATACACAAATAGATTTGCATCAGATGCATCCGTAGATCGTGTTAGCAACCTTGGTTTACAAGGCAGACTTTTGTAGGAATCGTGCACTTCGTCGGTCGATTCGTATCCTATCTGGAATGCACGAACTCCAGCCACAAATATTGGCAGCGTAGATCGTACATCTGCTGTACTTCGTATCACATAAGAAGCATATTCTGCTTATTTTCGGGATATGGCTACCTGCATCTTTTATGCTTCGATCTTGCCTTAGTCGTTGATGTCCAGCTCCTGCGCGATCATTGACGCAAGCTTGGCAAGATGGATATCGCCCAGACATCGATCTTATACCAAAAAACAGATTTCGTCGGGAGACGCCTGATTGTCCGCCAGATTGCTTCTTGATATCGATAATGCAATCGCCGCACAAAGTCGTGCTCTAGACCATGGGTTTGAGGAGACGTGTGCGAGCAAAGCTCGGCCCAGTTGGGCGGTGTGGCCCCTACACCTCCTCGAACTGTGCCTCTATGAGAACACCTCCGATCGATCATTATTTGAAGGAGATTCGGATCGCAAAAGAGACGGGACCTGGTTATAACTTGCGGAGATCATAGGAAAGGTGGGAGAATACTGTTACGCCTGATGCGATGAGCGTTTTGCGCAGGTAGCGCCTATCGAAGCCGGGGCTCAAGTAGCTGAACTCGAGTGCGGAAATCGACATGTTCATGTCGCTCGGTTGAAATGGTACATGATTGCGAGATCTTTGTCTTGGGTTACAGAATCGTCAGTCCGATGGGCATTCACAGAAGGTGAGGGCGTAGTCGCAAAAGTGATAGTCTCTCGGTATGGAAGATTGTGTGGACTTCCACCAACAAAAAGGGGGTGGCAGCAGCGACAACACCTCGCAACCTCTTCTTTCGTGTGGCCTTCTCTTTTAATGTCAATCATCGAAATCATGGAAGATACCCAGGGGAATGATGACTTCAACCTATAAGAGACTTTCGACTTCTGGGATTCCCAATAATCCTCACGGTAGGCAGATCCCCCCTCGAACAATCAGCACAATCAGCCCGACGAGACTCTCCTTCCCGCCTCGCTCGCATTTACCCCGTCAACCGTCACCACACCGCGAGCGCCTCCAGCAATCCACTACTGGGTCTTTGACATCGTTTTGCAGATCTCTTTGCGCGAGCATAAGCACAGTGGCTGAAGTTGATCCTCTTTTGACACCCCTTCTCGCAGAAGCCCCAGGGGGTAACCGGTCGAATCGCTTTCATGTAATTAAATGAGAGATTCAAAACAAGGTCTTTTACCCTTCAGGAAGGCAGAGACCTCAGTTGCGCAATTGATTTCCCACAATGGCCCAATCGATGTTGGCTTGATCGAATCGTTTGATGCGATCTTGCTGGGAGTGCTCTGTCGCGGAAATCACCACAGTTGTATCCTCGGAGCGTACCCCTCGACTTCTGGTGAGCATTTTCTGTAATAGTTCCTCGAGTTGGGCCTGTAATACTAGCCGCCAGTAAGACCTAAGTAATACGTCTGATTCTGTATCCCTTGCGATTGGCTGTTGTCGGGCGTCACCTACTATTCGATCGAGTGGCGCAGGCAGTCTGCAAAATCAGTCCCGTGTGTCTGATTTGGGTTCCACTCCCCCTCCTGTGAAAATCTCGCGATCGATGGGATGAATTATGGTACTGGATTAGTGTCAAGGGAATATATTTCGGCGTCACACCGGGTATTGTGCGCTCAGGATGAGGGGCTGTAGTGGTTCTGACACTTGTTACGTTCTCTGAAAACTGTGTTGAGTTCTGCGACGCCCATTCCTGAAACTTCAAGAGGTCATCTAAATTGTATGTCTTATCCATGGCCTCGGGACATGGCCTTGAAGGAGGGAGCTTGAAACAATGCAGATTCGACGAGGTTGTGGCACGCAGCATACTGCTTGGCCCGATCGGAACAATGTTGATGTCGAGATTTTGTGGGGCAAGCTGAAGACTCTATTTTGTAATGAGTTCTGTTGTATGGCGGTGTGATAAGCTACGAACTCGAAGTCCGTGATCGGTGCTTGGCCAAAACTCTCTAGCTCGCGATTGAGGCAAGGGTCACAAGTAGGGACAGCATGACCACATTGGGAGTAGAGATTAGCCTTTGCCACAATTAGCACACAGTAGAGACGAGACGCTGGGGTATAACGCTGCTTGTTTTGTGGTTGAATGCGTTCTGAAAATATGCTCTGACTGCATTATGACTCTTTCTATCGCCATATTGCTGGTGTCTTTCTCGTAGCAGCATTCCTATATTTTTCAAGAACAAATAATCTTTGATCACAGAAGTCTAAGAGTTCTAGGCATCAAGTAATACCTCCCATTTTGAATTCATCTGAAGACGGTGTGGAGCACGAACTCGGTAATAGCCTCTTCGGTAAAAGTGGAGGCCTTTGGCTTATGTCAAGGCTCTCCCCACTTCATTCCAAGTCACCTGCGCTCCAGGGCTTAGAGCGTTAAGACGGCGAAATAAAAGCCCCTATCACCGACTAGTAATCGACCTCCTTTCGTTGAGGATCTCAGTCTCTTCGCTTTCACCCTCACCTTGACAACATTCAAGAAAACGCGTAAAGGAAGTAAGGAGGGTTTATCGGCCGATGTCGAACCAGAGTATCGCAATAGCGAGAAATAATGGCCACATACACTAAATCCCTCAGCTCTGCGCGGGGTCAAAAGGGTAAGAACCCAAAAGTTGAACAGAAGAGATTGGTTCTGTGCTAACGATCTCGATCGCCTGACCCGTCGTGCTTCTTTTGGAAGGTTACTCTCCCGTTCTGGGAAGTGGCTTTCGGAGACATGAGATGCTAAGTTAATATGCCAATTGTACGTCCTTTCTCATAAATCAACTCGGTTAGGGTTAGGGTTAGGGTTAGGGTTAGGGTTAGGGTTAGGGTTAGGGTTAGGGTTAGGGTTAGGGTTAGGGTTAGGGTTAGGGTTAGGGTTAGGGTTA